TGTTCGTGGTACTAACTAATTTTTTTTGACGTATCAATTTTTTTATATATACAGTACCACTGAACACAGGTTAATTTTTTTCAACAGTTCATGTAACATGCACAAAAAAATTAATTAGATGTATTTTTTTCGATGTTCTGAACTTAGCATTATTTTACTGTATAGTAAATGCACATCATTTTTTTTAAACAAAAAAGCTGATTTGGTACATTTTCCTCGACATGGTTCTTAGCGTTCTTGTTTTCTTTTCCAGGTGCGACGGGCACTGGACAGGAAACAAACGAAGCACGGAATCCAACGAACAACTTCAAGGAAGCTATGTACAAGCATCCTATTAGCATAGGCAGACAAACCAGTAGGCATGCCACCAAGCCGCTCGGAAGATTTTTTTCACCCGAAAGGGAACCATCGAGATTTTTTTACTTCCGGCTCTTTCTGTCCTAGGGTCCTCACCACCTCACTAGGAGGGAGTGAGCTGTAGCGGTGAATAATTCCCAAAAATTATTGGCCACAGCAATCACTCATTGGATGCTGACCACCACTGTTTAAGTCGACTTGTTTAGCTGAAGGCTTCCGGTCAAGCATCCCCGCCATTTGGTACCCCGTCGTGTCACGTGCACGATCACTAGCTAGCTAAGCGTTCGTCTGAAGGTTTGTTTTGGTCCCGAAATATATTACTTAGTTTGGACGATCAAATATTGGCTTTTGCTTTGTTTTCGGTACGCGAGAATAATTTAGAGGCTGTGTAAGATGATTTCGTCAACCTTTGATTATTAATCACTTCCTCACTTATTTTCCTATATTAATGTATCAATTATTATTGCTCTTACTTAATTTATTACACTTTAGTGATTCAAGTTAGCACTTTATCTTTTCTAAAACAGCTTTCAATACCTTGTAAACATTGTACTTACCTCGATATTTGTTGGTTGTCCTCTGTCTACAACCTTGGGATGAATTCTAAACGAAGTCAATTTTCCTGCGAAACCTGAAGGACAACCGTACAATTCAATAACTTTACGGCCTGGTTCAGGCAACCAGTGCATTGATATATATATATATATATCAAACATTTAACTGTTGAAACATCATAAACTTGTAGACAATCTAAGATTTGACATGATACCATACTTGATCGTGCCTGTAAAAAGCATGCATTTTCATGTAAATTTATGCTTATATGAAAATATAAATTATTATTATAATTTATAACACAACTGATCTTGCTTGTAAAAATGGCATGCATTTCTCAAAAACTTATGAGAGCTATTACGGCTTAGGGTAGACCTCAATCCTAAACACTCTTACAAAACTCCTTCACCGTTTTATGACTTTAGCTGTACTCTGCTTAACGTGCAGATACTAACGAACGGAATCTAGGTAAAAAGACTTGATATGACAAGTGTATCTCGGATAGTTATATTTTACACAAACGAAATATGAAATTTGATAAATAAAGAGGTTGTACAACTTATCTGCTGACGTCACTGGTGGTAGGCTCGGAGAGTGGGCAGAAGGAATGCACAACGAGAGAGCGAACCAGTGAACGTAAGGAAGAGTCACAACCCAAAAGATAAAGATGTGCCAAACGATGGGTGCGCGAGTTTAAACAAAGTTCAAGGGTACAATGTGCACTACAGACTCACCCTTTTATACGAAATACGAAGCATTATATTATTATTAAAGTATTTTAAATTCCCCCAAGTGATTATATTCCGTCATCACTGAGGAAAATTCTACGAAAGCACTCAATAAAATACTTCAGATTTCATGTAAATTTATATTTTTATATGAAAATATACATTATTATTACTATGACTTATCATCAGTAATCGCCGTTATGTATGTTCTCACTGGAATTCAATTGTTATATAATATAATCCATAGGAACAAGGAGATACAGGGCATTTATTGACTTAATAAACCAGGAGAAATATCAAAACTTCTCATAAGTACGTTTTAAAAATTCAAAACGGCCTATCCGAAAATATTATACTTATATGCCATTGCTTCCGAGAATACCTGGGTGATATGTGAGCTGTTTGGCAAGCAGTTTGCCAAACTATGCACTTTGCCGAACGATCAGATCTTGAAATTTCTCACGTCAAACAGACGAATGTCTAAGTGACATACTTTTAACCACACAAAAGATCGATGAATCTGTCGGCGAAAAAACCTCAAGACTAGGGCCTCTGAGGTTGTAAAAGTTCTCATTTTGATGATCGCAAAACTTCTGTGGGTAGGCCGGGGAAGCGCCAATCCGAACTAACAGTTTGCGACACAAACGCCCGCAGCCTGTTGAACAAACGGACTAGGTTGGTTGATATGATGGGTTCCGGAAATCCGGATGTAATCATCATCACAGAGACATGGCTCACACCCGATGTCACCGACAACGAAGTTAACCTGCCAATCTTCGAAGTGCACAGGGTGGACCGACTAAACTGCAAAGGAGGTGGCGTGGTCATCTACCTCAGGAAAGGCTTAATCGTGCGCAGCATCAAAGCACTCGCTCACGAAAGTGAGTCGTGTGAATTTCTACGCTGCAGACTAAAATGCATAGGCCAAGACATTGACCTCATTGCTATGTACCGTAGTCCTGACTGTAGTGCAGATGACTTCCTAATAGAGAAGCTAGGCTCCTAGACATTGAAATGTCGCAGTCTCGTAGTCGGCGACTTCAATGCCCCAACAGTTGACTGGACGAGCCTTACAACTCCATCCTCAGTCAACTCCTTTGATCTTAAACTGCTGGAATCTAGTATATCGCTAGCCCTAGTCCAACATAACGTTAGGCACACGCGCTATGACTCACAGCACTCCTTCTCAACTCTGGACCTAGTGTTCTCACACGGTGAGGATGTGGATCTCATACAACATCTTCCTCCGTTAGGAAGAAGTGACCATGCTGTGCTCACTTTCAAGTTCACAGCAACGGCAGCAAGGGCCAAAACCCCAGCTCGACCAAACGTTCGGAAAGCTGCTTTGAATGCGACCGTCTTAGTGGCCAACTCAGTGAACTGGTACATCAACCCAAAAACCCAAGTAGAAGCCAAATGGAACCAATTTAAACAAATTTATGCCTAAGTAACTGAACGTTTCCTTCCTTGGTCTGTCCCAAAGGGTCGGAAACATTGCCACACTTGGATAAACCGAGAGATTCGTAAGCTTCTCAGATGGAAACATAGATGCTGGATACTGTTTGCAAAGCTTGAGACTCCTGAGACCAGGAAATTAAATAACACTGCTAGGAATAAAGCTACCGCAGAAATCCGCCGATTGAGGATGAATTTCGAAGCACATATGTCTCAAAATGCAAAGGCACAATCTACGAAAATTTTCTCGTACATGAACTTCAGGAATAATACATCCAATGTTGTCCTAAACCTGACTATTGACAACGTCAAAATCGAAAAAGTTCAAGAAAAGCAGAAGCAATGGCAGACTACTTCTCCCAAGTCTTCACTCAAGAGTCATCACTCCCTAAAGGATCAGCTGTGGCTGCATCAGAGGAATACGAGACAGATTCCGCTGACATTGACCAAGATATTGTGCCCAGCTAACTAATGAAACTAGGTGCAAGGAAATCAATGGGTCCTGATAATCCTCATCCAAGGCTTCTCAAGCAGCTATCAGCTCACACAGCCGGCCCTTTGACGACGATCTTCAAGCCCGCCCTCCTAAATGAAGTGTTACCACATGACTGAAAAGACGCCATAGTAACCTCCATTCATAAAGGAGGATCAAGACAAAGCCTTTCAAATTACAGGTCTATTAGTCTCACCAGCACTTCAATCAGGCCACTGGAAAGAATCATCAACAGATGGCCCGCTGACGTCGCCTTCATTAAAGTTCCTTGCAAAAGACCACTCATGAAGTTGAAAACTGTTGGTATCAAGGGCAGCTCATCAAAATGCCTCAGAGAATTCCTCATAGAAAGGAGGCATAGGTTAAGGATCAACTCGAAACTATCCTTTTGGACAGCATTCCTTAGTGGAGCGCCAGAAGTCACGGTACTCAGACCTCTCCTATTTATTTTGTATATCAACGGGTTATCTGCTCACTGATTCCCTTATGGTCCTAATCGCAGATGACTTGATAATTTGGAAAGAGCTGAAGAGCAACAGTGATAATTTCGCGTTCCAAGAGGACCTCAACAAATTGTCAGAGTGGTCCAGGGGATGCTCCCTATCATGTAGTGAAATGTGTAACCATGAGCACTGGCCACGCAGGCATCAGCTCCTACGAACTGGAGGGAATAATACTCCCATTAGTTCAGATTCATTTGGATTTAGATGTCACAGTAAGTCACGACTTAAAAACCACAGCAAACCGTCGAGCGGTGGCTGTACGTGGTCTCAGATCCTTACGGGCAATTCTCGGAGGCTTTACTAGAATCACCAGAGATATGTTCACCTTATATACATCTCTGGCGAGGTCAAAACTAGAAAACTGTATCCAGGCACCCAGTCCTTGCCTTAAATGGGACTAACACAATCTAGAAAGGGTTAGAAGAAAGGCAACACGTATGGTTCATGGCATGACTAACTTATCATACGAGGAAAGACTAGACTGTTTAAATCTCTTCTCCCTGTCATACAGTAGGCAAAGAGCAGATTTAATCACAATGTTTAGAATTTCAAATAATGACTATGGACCTGACCTGTTCCCTCTTTTCCTTCCCGCCAGGTCGGAACACCTTAGAGGACATAGCAGGAGAGTTCAAAGGCCAAGAAAAAAGCATATTGCTGTTGAGTACTGGTTTCACACTCCTGGAACCAAATCCCAGAAGAAGTGGTGTCTGTAACCTCGACTGATTCATTAGAGAATGGTTTGTAAACACACAGAAATTTACAATAAAATGAATAACATTGGCTCCAAGCCTTCTATCCCCAACCAATAAATCAAAATCTGAAATCCGAAATCTGTCTCAGTCTGAATAACCTACACTAATTCTATCTGTTATAATCATTATCTCTTTTCTTTTGATGACGAAACCGGGTTACTAACTGGTGAAAGGATCAAGTTCATTCACGGTAGCAAGAAATTCTTAACACACCGTATACTACAAACAACATATAATTAGTCCAAGCACTACTCCTTTTTGAGTCAAAGCTATGACAGTCGAGCGACGGGACGAACAACGCAGAATTTTAAGGAAAACCAGAGACCTCTACCTCATAATGAAGAAGCGTGCACAAAATATCAATCTGGTTCACACCAGCTCGTAAAAACGATATTGGATATTAAAATGACCAAGATGCTTATTCAATGCTTCCGCTACGGTGGTGTGCACCCTTAATCTGCAGGAAATTAGTTGTTTTTCGGTTAATAAGGTCTATTGGCTCTCAGCAAAGGAAACGGTACTTCTCTGTTTCATTCATATTTTAATTAAGACAAAGCGTAAATGTCACATTTGCTTGGAAAGACGGAAATCAAAAAACAGTCCCGGCCAAAATTGGTGACACCTTTTTGGATGTAGTTTTAGATAATGACGTTGATATTGACGGGTTCGGTATGCTTCTGCATGCGGCTTATTATGGTTTTAGGTGCATGTGAGGGCACCCTAGCCTGTTCAACGTGCCATCTCATATTCCCAAAGGAGCACTACGACAAGTTACGTGATCCTTTAACTGACGAGGAACAAGATTTGCTAGATTTAGCCTACAGCTTAACAGAAACGTAAGCTTTACGTATTTTATTTATTTATGGTTTCTCACATTGGATCAACTAGTTTATTTGATTAGGTCATAAAATATAGTGTATTTTTGGTATCAGTGACTGACTGAGATGACTTATGTTATTCGTTCTTGTGCCTTTCTGTTATCAAACAGAATAAAAGTACCCGTCTCATTACATGAGGAAATAACTTCTCTTGATCATTTCCTCAGAAGCGGAATACATTGGTCATCAAACGATATTTTATCGTGTAATGCATTGATTAATAGGCCATCTCAGCAGGACCACAGTTTACTAAACTTCACTTAGTGTTCTTTTGTATTGGCTATAAATTATACGTTATGACTTAGGTTAGTTAAACACAAGTTTCAACACAGTACATATTACTCTGAAGTTAGACGACTCAAAACAGAGTAACTCCAGGTTTTTGAAATTACACTTATCCTGATTATAACCAAATATTTTACTCTAAAAACCACTAACAGAGTTTTGAATAGTTGATTGATCTGTTATTGTCTTTATTTAGTTCCCGACTTGGTTGTCAAATCAAAGTGTCAGAAGATATGGATGGTCTAGTTGTAAGCGTTCCAGAGTCTATTTACGATGCCCGTAATTAATATCACACCTGCTCTATCCATCATTCTGTTTGGAAAAGGTGTCACGTAAGTCCTAAAGTGTTATTCAATGTGTTATTTTATATCTATATGCTAGCATAAATTCATAAGAAGTGGGTAATGACTACAGAATATTCTGTTCTTCAGTCATATAGTTCCTCAAATATCTGCTATCTTTGTTTCCCTAACAACCACTACTAGTGGGACCTCGTTTTATCTTTTTTTTATCAAAGGAGTTAGTGTCTTCTATAAGTATACTGGGAATTCTACAAAAACTTTTTATGTGTACTTTTTACTCGATCTTAGCACTCAATATTGAGCGACCATTAAGTTACACCTTGATTGAAGTTCATACAAATGCTTACTCAGTGTCTTAAGATGAAATGATATATTTGTGCGCCGAAGTCTTTGATAGGTCTGTCTGATTCAGCGTTACCATCTGAGTCACCTTTTTCGAGTTTATTTGCATGCTTCTTTCTACTCAACTTGACATTACTTGTTAAACTAAAAACCAAGTGTCATTCATAGCCTGGAACATAAAAAAATTCATTCTAGGTAACTGAGTTCTTGCTAACATAGCCTAATGTTATGTTCTCGTTTATACAAATGTGGTAATATCTAAATTTGTGTAGGGCTGAAAGTTATAAATTTATTAATTTGTACACGTATATATAGATGGTCTTTTTTAAGTTCATCATAGAAACAAGGGTTTCAGAATATTTTCCTACTCATTTGGTTTTAACACCAACCGTAATACATGTAGTGCCATCTTGAGTGAAGTAGCTGTACTATTGCCCTTAAAATAATCCTCCCCCTGATGAAATTACTAAATTGAATTCACTCGACTGAACTTTTTGACCTCTGTGACATAACCATTCACCTATTTCAGAGTGTATTTTAATTACCATATAAACATTTGAGTAGACTTATTAGATGTGTTGTCTCATGAAGTATTGCTATGGTAGCATTGCGATTATGTAATAGTGTGACGATTGAATTCGGTACAGCTCTTTGAAAACCATTGACCATGAGGGCTTCTTGTGCTTTTGGAAGTGTGTGGGCGGTTGCTACTTCTGGCTGCCCACACAGTGCAAGTTGATTTATTTCTTGGGGAACGTGAAACAGAAGAATTGGCGTTATGTGACCGCAGAGCCCAGGAGAAACCTGCTTGAGGTCTGTCACATACGGTATGTATGAACTGGCTTTTTGGTTCGGTTCCGTATTAGTAACTTACCGCCGATTACGGACCACCGTAGGGTAAGTAGGGATGTACACTATTTGGCGTCGACCTTTTCTGGCGTGCTGGTCATCTTAGGGAAACACCTTACGGCGGCCGTTACATCCCTGTTCCCCAACAGTACGACTTTGCGCACAGATCCCCATCATAGGGTAAAAATGATCTTACACTGTGTCGGTAGTTGCTTTTAGTCTAACCGCTATCATAACAATCTTCCTTGCATGGTAAGACCTGCAGGAACATTAGTTCCAACCAGTGTAGCTTGTTGAGTCATTACGTTATACAACCCCTACCACCACGCTTAGGTAGCAGCTATCGGTCGGGCCTAAGTAGAGTTGTCATCTGAAGTGGTAACAACCAGTGGTACCCGTCACGGATGCCAAATGCCCCCATTTCTGTTTAATTGCATCATAGATGTACTAATGGACTTAACCCTAACTGACTTAAGTGATTCAGAGGTTGACTTGCTACCAGGTAATAATCTCGTCCTCCCTACTAGATGAAAACGCTGACAAAATGCAGAGTCTTCGAAACACCTTGATTAGGAGAAATCTTCGAATGTTTGAAATGCGATTCGCTCCCGTCAAATGTAAAATAATGCTAAAGTACTGAACTGGAATACATTAGCTCCGAGCTTAAAGATAGGGAATGAATTGGTAGAGCGTGTTGACCACTTCACTTATTCGGGGAGTTGCATCAGCCAGCCCCAATGGGTTGGTCACTGACGAAATCTCAGCACAGACACAAAAGGCTTGTTTGGCATATGCCAACTTACGTCATCTCTGTCTTGGTAGACGTGATATCCGGCTGACTATCGACCAGAGGACATACATACTGTTCAGCAGTTCGCCCCGTCCACCTTGTTGACCGTGACTCATGGCTACTGAAATTGGAAGATATAAAATAGCTCGCTGTCTTTGATCACAGGTATCTGCGTTGTATTTCCTGTGTTAGGTGGTAGAAAAGGGTGAGTAATATTAAAGTTAGGCGTCGAGTGCTGGGGAAGGAGGGGAAATCAATCAACGAGTTTGCGAAGTTACACCGATTAAGATGCTTATGACATGTGTTATCCACGCCTAGCCACCGCCTTCCTCGACGGATAATGTTAGCTGACAGGTTGGAAAACAGCTAGTGGTGGTCAAACTAAAACATAGCTTCATCAGTCAATAAAATCCACAAAAGTTAGGTAGCCACTTAGGGAGGTTTAGACATCCTGGTTGTTGTCCTCAGGATGGTAAGAACCAGTAACAACTGGAGACAATTAGTGGTATGGCTAAAAATCGTCCTCAATGACTAGCATAGATGTATTTACTCTTTGTAATCTCCCGTATCCAATAAACACCTTCCATGTGACTGTTCTTTCTCTCTCAATTCCATGCTTCTATTAGGCATAATTTCTCATTCGTATAGAATTTTCCCTCACCATAGGTTTTGTCAATTATGTCTCACCTCGTTATCTTCCCATTTTTGTACTTTCCCTTTACAGATATATAGATAGTTATTCAACAGCGATATCAGTCTGTTTCATAGGATTCTGCACTCAATATATGCAGCACATGTATACAATTAAAACAAAGAAATGTTTACAAATCTTAATGATCTTCATCTTTTCTGGATATGTTTCCACAAACTTGTATGTTGTATTGATCTGTTGCAATACTTTGCAGTCTTCCCCTAATTTCCTGATTAATGTAGTTTAATAGGATATTTCTTATTAAAAATTTTATTAGCAGTAATCAATTATGTACAGTGTCAAAATAATAATAAAAATGCTTAACACAGACGGAGTTCATTTTGATTTCTTTTTCTTCTCTGCTTCCACTTGAAATTCAAAATTTTTTGTTGGTTTTACTGCGTACATTATATTGTTGCTATTTACGTATACAGGTAGCTTTTTTCCCAGACTGGATGCGCTGTGGTACACAATACATCATTGTGATTAATCCTATTATGAATACAATTTTATTTAGATAGAGTCACACAGTGTTATGGCGTCGGTGGCAAAGCGGTTAGGACGCTCGCCGACCATGCACATGGTCCGGAGTTCGATCCCCGGCCATGGATGCACTCCTTTACCTCACTAAGCCAGAAATAATGCTGGTAAAGAGGAAAGATTGGGCATGAGGCTAGCAACCCCATCCCGTAAAATTAAACACCACTGCTACCGAAACTTCAAGCCACTAGCTTGAAGGTGCCCTATGTCCCACTGGGAACGTGAAGGAAAAAAACAGTGTTATTCAGTAAATTTTACTGATGACCACCTGCCGATCACAATTCATTGCTCATATTAATCATATCAAGGTACTTACATAACTTTCTTACTTCATTTATATATTTGTGTTATCAATTAAAATACAATAGAATGGGAAATAAGACGTGTGTTGTTAGTCAATAAGATGGGAAATAAGAGTTTTTTTTACTAAAGTAAATAACTTGTTAGGATGTAATAATGTGAATTGAAATATATTTTAACAGTATTTATTATCATCCTCTGATTTGACTGGTAATAATATCTTGCATATGTCTCGTATTTGCGTTCAGTCACTTCTATTGCATGTGTTGAGTGTAGACTCGATGAACCATGCCTTAACACAACCACCGCATTGTGTGGTTTCGTGTTAAGGCATACAATGCAATCGCTGAGTATTTTTCTAAATTTAAAAACAAATAGTCCCTTTCAGAAATTTTGACAGCGTTATTAGAAGACGAAGATTATCTGAAGAATGTGATGTATTTGCGCTATACATTTCGAACAATCTGATCACACATTTACTTGTCAAGTCAATATATATGGAAAAGATAAATTAAACAACGTGATAAAAGAGAATTAAGAATAATTAACACTAACGTTTGGTAATCCAATCAAATAAGGATTACCAAGGTAGGTTAAGAGTAATAACAAACTGTTTTTGAATACACAAGGGGGGCTTAAGTTTATGAATAGCTATAGTCTCAGCGTATTTCAGTAGACGCCCTTGACATTAAAGGCTGAGTTAACATCAATCTTATGGTTCATCTCGATTAGATGTTTAGCTATAGACGAAGTTGGTAGTCTGACACCTGCATCTATTGGCTTGTCACAATTCATCTGTTTTTCTAAAGATTTCGGGATATGCTCTCCCCCCCTCACGTGCAAGGCGCGATAACTCCTCCCTATGTATGCATGTCCACACACACACGAAAATTGGTAAATTGTGTGGGATGTGATATAATCACTTGTGCACTTTTTAGGTTTACACTTACTTACCTTACTTTACTTTACTTCGGCTATCTCCTACGGGAGGATGAGCCGGCTTCATGAACGTCTCGAATCATCGCTGCCCAGGCGCGGCAATTTGTAAGAGAGTTCATGAAGTTTCATGGGAATTTGGTACGAGTGATGTCCCCAGCATCGCTTGGCCTTTTGTTTGAGAGTGCAGCTCTAGCCTTTACACAGCCAAGTGTGACCTACAAGGCAGTAGGAGTGGAGTAAGGAGTCCACTATCCATTGGGAGCCGGTGACCGGAGTTCGGTTCATACGCCTTTTTGAATGGGGCCAGACATCCAGGACATCCAAAAAGCCCTTTGTCCATACGTCTGCCGGTGAGCTCCAGTGAGCTTCATACGCCAGTCGTTGGAGGTTTGGAATCAGGGTTTAGCCATCTCCCCTAGACCGTCATCCAATGGACAGTCAACCCGGTGGAGAGCGCCGGGCATCCGCTTTCGCCCTCTCACTTTGGTGAGAAACACCTCCACCACGTGAAGGCAGTGAGTAGGACTTCCTCAGGAGAGGCTATGTAAGACGCCCGGTCATATGGGAGCATTTCAAGAGGTGTGCGGAGGGGTGGCCAACCCGCAGCGCAAGACACCCACCCCCGACCATCCTGAGGCTTTGGAGGCTTTTAGGTTTACAGTGAGGCATATATTCAGCTTTTTCCACAATTACAAGCTGGGCTGCATAGTAGGTCCTACGGATGATCCAATTCAACCTTTGTCTCACAATCCTACTGTTTATTTCCCCGTTATATGGTAATTTGATGAAAACCTTTTTCTTAGGGACGGTATGGGTTGTAGGTTTAGAGGCTAGTTGACCTCTACACCTGTTTAAAAATTTTAAAGGATATCAGTTTTCAACCAATGTGACAAATCTGTCATCAGCGGAACTTTTATTGCACGAATAAGCAGGTGTTATCACTTGGTTTCAATTTTTCTATCCCATTAAACAATATTTCGGACTTAGCAATTGATTCTCAGTTTGAAAATTTGTATGATCCGTTGAGTTCTCTAACTCCTTCTTCGACAGATGACCAAAGATGGTTGAATGTTAAATTTGTAGATGTAGCACACCAATTCCGTAATTCAAGTCGGAGACAAAGAAGCATTTTAACATCAACTCATTTAAAGCCCTAAAGGAATTACGTAATAGATCCGACATAGTTATTTTGAAACCTGACAAAGGATCTGGTGTAGTTGTAATCGACAGAAGTGATTATAAAACAAAAATGTTATCCATCCTTAATGACAAAAGCAAATTCATGGCCGATATTCCTTCGGATGATATCAGGAAATTGGAAGGAAAAGTAAATTCTCATTTAGTAAAACTTCGTGGCATGGACGTTATCGATAAACAGGAGTTTAATTACTTGAAACCCATGGGATGTGATTTTCCAAACCTCTATGGATTACCTAAAATTCATAAGGTTGATAGTCCATTACGTCCGATTCTTTCAATGTGTATCTCTCCTACAAATGAATTAGCAAAATGGTTAGCTGATATTTTAAGTCCAGTACGCAATGAATTATGTAAGTTTACTTTGAAAGATACATTTGAACTTGTTGACTGTCTTGTAGATATGAACATAAAAGATAGGAAAATGTATTCATTTGATGTTAATTCTTTGTTTATTAATGTACCATTGATTAAGACTGTTGATATTCTTTGTGAGTATATATCTTCTAGTTGTTTTTCATTCCCTTATTCCCTTTAACTTATTTGAAAGATTTATTATTATTATTATTATTATTATTATTATTATTATTATGTACTGATAACGTCCATTTCACGTTTGAAGGCAAACATTTTCGACAAGTGGATGGTGTTGCTTTGGGGACTCCATTAGGACCTTTGTTAGCGGACGTTTACATGTCTTACGTCGAAAACCTATCCCTTGATTTAATTTCAAAATTGCCCTTCTATAGGAGATATGTAGATGATATCATTTTGATATGTGACGATCATGAAGATGCGAGTCACCTATTAGACAGACTTAACTCTGTACAAAAACATACTAGTCTTACATGCGAGGAAGAAAGTTTCAACCAGCTAGCATTTTTAGACATACTTCTGAGTCGAAGAGATATTGGCTTAATAAGACGGTCTATCTACAGGAAGCCCACTTGGACAGGACAGTACCTTAATTTTCACAGCTTCTGTCCATCACAGTATAAGAGAGGCTTGGTGAAGTGTCTATTTAAGAGGATTCAGCGTATTTGCACGGCTGATGTTATAGGCAAGGAAAACGAAATATTGATAGATACTCTTGTTAAAAACTGATATCCTTTAAAATTTTTAAACAGGTGTAGAGGTCAACTAGCCTCTAAACCTACAACCCATACCGTCCCTAAGAAAAAGGTTTTCATCAAATTACCATATAACGGGGAAATAAACAGTAGGATTGTGAGACAAAGGTTGAATTGGATCATCCGTAGGACCTACTATGCAGCCCAGCTTGTAATTGTGGAAAAAGCTGAATATATGCCTCACTGTAAACCTAAAAGCCTCCAAAGCCTCAGGATGGTCGGGGGTGGGTGTCTTGCGCTGCGGGTTGGCCACCCCTCCGCACACCTCTTGAAATGCTCCCATATGACCGGGCGTCTTACATAGCCTCTCCTGAGGAAGTCCTACTCACTGCCTTCACGTGGTGGAGGTGTTTCTCACCAAAGTGAGAGGGCGAAAGCGGATGCCCGGCGCTCTCCACCGGGTTGACTGTCCATTGGATGACGGTCTAGGGGAGATGGCTAAACCCTGATTCCAAACCTCCAACGACTGGCGTATGAAGCTCACTGGAGCTCACCGGCAGACGTATGGACAAAGGGCTTTTTGGATGTCCTGGATGTCTGGCCCCATTCAAAAAGGCGTATGAACCGAACTCCGGTCACCGGCTCCCAATGGATAGTGGACTCCTTACTCCACTCCTACTGCCTTGTAGGTCACACTTGGCTGTGTAAAGGCTAGAGCTGCACTCTCAAACAAAAGGCCAAGCGATGCTGGGGACATCACTCGTACCAAATTCCCATGAAACTTCATGAACTCTCTTACAAATTGCCGCGCCTGGGCAGCGATGATTCGAGACGTTCATGAAGCCGGCTCATCCTCCCGTAGGAGATAGCCGAAGTAAAGTAAAGTAAGGTAAGTAAGTGTAAACCTAAAAAGTGCACAAGTGATTATATCACATCCCACACAATTTACCAATTTTCGTGTGTGTGTGGACATGCATACATAGGGAGGAGTTATCGCGCCTTGCACGTGAGGGGGGGAGAGCATATCCCGAAATCTTTAGAAAAACAGATGAACTGTGACAAGCCAATAGATGCAGGTGTCAGACTACCAACTTCGTCTATAGCTAAACATCTAATCGAGATGAACCATAAGATTGATGTTAACTCAGCCTTTAATGTCAAGGGCGTCTACTGAAATACGCTGAGACTATAGCTATTCATAAACTTAAGCCCCCCTTGTGTATTCAAAAACAGTTTGTTATTACTCTTAACCTACCTTGGTAATCCTTATTTGATTGGATTACCAAACGTTAGTGTTAATTATTCTTAATTCTCTTTTATCACGTTGTTTAATTTATCTTTTCCATATATATTGACTTGACAAGTAAATGTGTGATCAGATTGTTCGAAATGTATAGCGCAAATACATCACATTCTTCAGATAATCTTCGTCTTCTAATAACGCTGTCAAATTTTCTTCTAAATTAATTATCCTCATGGGATCAATGATTCTAACCTTCGCTGAATTCTTATGTTCTGATAATCTCACCACTCTTGAACTACTAGTTAGACATATGTAGTTGGAAACAATTGGTGACATGGCTCAAAATCGTCCTCAGTGTCGCAGATGCATCCACTCCTTGTGACTTATGATCTCCAATGAAACTGTTTTGTTCTTCGTTATTACTCCTCCTTTGTCTCACCCCTCTGCTCACTGTTTCTATTATGCTTTTCTTATACTTTCTTCTATTGCTTCGCGTGCTACACGGAGTGTGGCGACTTGAACTTCCGCACATTTGTGCAAAGTTCTGTGTCGAGAACAGACAGACAGTTGATCTAATTCACAGTCATTTCCAGGCATTTTGTTTAGTTGGGTTCACTGGGTTCTTTAACATACAGAGCTGGTCCTACCTGAGTGAGTTTGTTGGTTTGAATGCCACCCTAATTCCTGATTTAGATATGATACGGAAGATTTTTAGCTCGGTTGGATGATTTTCATGTGGTGTTGTTCTCTGAGCTGGTCAGTTAATTTTGCGAAGCTTTCATCGCCCTACTAGGCGACATCTTCAGCGCATACTTCAATTTTATACGGTAAAACTGTAGATGCCTTATATTTTTTTCTTATATATGTTATCATTATTAGTTTCCCGATTATTTTTATTTTGCTTTTGACCTTTTGTGATCTTCCTAATGAATTAATTGTATATGCTAGTTATTTAGCACCAACACTTTTTCCATCTGTTTCATTTCATCATTTAGGTTTTTTTTGTTGTGCTACTTAGTGCTATTGCTTGGTTTGTTAGACACACTTAACCAACCCCAAACTAAAGGTAACAGCGGGTGTGATGAATTAAAGTCTAAATATCTATTAGAATAAGTTGGCTTTTTATAAACACGAGTGTTCAGTTTATCTTCTTCTGTTCGTTTTATTATACAACCTAATATGGCTAATTCTGCTTGTTCATTTTCCGATTCAAATGTGAAGTTCATTCCCTTTACCAGTGGGTTTATTATATGTGTGATATGATTATGAGCAATAAATTGTGCTCGACACTTGGTCATCAGTTCACTTTACTATATAACACTGTGTAACTTTATCAGAATAAAATTCTATTCATAGTGGAATTATACTCTACCACAGTTGTTTTTTTTTCCTTCACGTTCCTCAGTGGAACATAGGACACCTTCAAGCTAGTGGCTTGAAGTTTCTGTAGCAATGTTTATTTTACGGAATGGGGTTGCTAGCCTTATGCCCAACCTTTCCTCTTCACCAGTAATGTTTCTGGCTTGGTGAGGTAGAGGAGTGCATCCGTGGCCGGGGATCGAACCCCGGACCATGCGAATGGTCGGCGAGTGTCCTAACCGCTATACCACCGACGCAGTGCCCAAGTTTTATCCTTATATTATTGTATTTATCAGATAACATGGCAGTTATTGGGTACAAATTGTCGTATTCATTTATAATAATTATAATAATAATAATTTTGCTTTATTCCAAAAACAGTACCAATGATACAGCAAGGAATTTTCAGCATTCAGTACAATATTGCATCTAGTTTACTCAAAACGACAAAAAAACATTATATAATAATAATAATAATAATAACAAAATGTTGTTATAGCAGCTCTGTCGCAGATCACAGTATGCGATAAGGAGAAAAATATGCATAAAGTATAAAATTGTAGTAATAATGGTAATAACAACTAAAATAAAATAGCTAAGTTATAATTAAACGATAGAAAGGGCGACACCATAAAATTACAGAAAGATGAACGAACAATGAAAGGGTCGATTCACTTTGCTAAATACATAGTAACTTATATGCTTCAGGTGTAACAGTGTCTTCATCACATAAAATACGGGCTAAATAGGGTATTGTAGAATTTTTGTACTTAGTGATTCGAGCATATAACTTCTTATATTGACTTCTCGTCCAACCTGATGAGATGCAAGGGGATAGTGGTGAATAAAGGGGGTGCAGGGAGTCTGACAGTACGGTCTTTGCCCATTTTGTACAGGTATTTATGTGTCTGTCTACTATAATATTGGCGAGCTCACGCAGTGGCATACCACAAGCCCTACTAATATGCTTTAAGAAAAGTTACGATATTGATATCAAACACATTTTGACTATGTTCCTATGCAGAATACGACCATTATGTAGGGTGTCAACAATGACATTAAATATAGTCTGATAAATACTTGAGCTAACCTACTAACATGGACCTGTAAGAGATAGCTCCATCCTTTATTGAAAAGAAACAGTGAGCAGTCTTTATTATTCATTATTTGAAACGGGGTTATAGTTGTTGTGTAAAATGTGTTTTACCACTAGCGCAATCCTTTTAATGGAAGCTTTTCTAAGAACTACATATATCTTCCCAATAAAAGGCCTAAAAAAGCCAAGAAGAATGAATACGCGGCAACACAATGTGAGATGATTTCATTTAATTTGTACTTCTCCATTGATTGATTGGACCGAAGTGTTCGGCGTCAGGTTAACATGTGAGCTCCTTGTGCAGATGCTTCGACAATGTCTGATAATTTAACTTGAAGTAAATTGGTGGAATCCATGATGCTTTGAATCTCGTCATCCGGGTGAACCCACATTCCATCATTCAGTAGGGAGTGCAGATACATTCAGATAGCTGACGAATCCCAAACAGGACTAAATACACATTATATCCTGAAATCCACTACTAGTCACCATCCACCATTTTGGTAAAACCTAAGATGATTTAGCTTTTGACGGTTTGTATATGTTAAACCAATGTCTTCCATCCTGTTGAATCGTTATGTTTTTCTCTTAATATTTGTGATTTCCAGACTTCAGCAAAACTACGCAAGTTATCTAAACCTCCTTTCATTATACCGAATAAGGCAGAACTCGAATATGCGGATACCAGTACTGCCAATGATAATAATAATAATAATGACGATCAAAACAACGTGATTAAGCCACGTAAAAATAAAAATCTTATTAAACTTAAAAAGTATAAAAAGCGTCAATTAAAGAAAAAATATTCACGTAAACAATTACATGCGAGGAAATTACTACAACAAAATGAAGGGAAAACTAGACCAGCTAACCATGCTCAAGAAGAGGCTTTAAATTATTTACGAATGTGGCACGATGATTATAACAATTGGAAGTTTAAAACACTTGAACAGTCTTGGTTGATTAAAAATGCATTAAATAAAAAGATGGTGAGTATTTCGTTTTTGTGATGTTTCTTTACAATTGCTAGTGTAGTCATGTACTATTATTATTGTTATTATTATTCACTTGGGTTCTGAGTGGAACATAAGGATTCAACGACACATCTCCACTTTGTTCTGTTTTCTGCTATCCTCTTCAGCTGGGTTCACGATTGCCTATTATAATCTCTCATCTCTTCCTCTCCCGCCCCAACACACCATCTCTTCTATGTCACCCTCACACTGACCACCCATTCGTCACTTCCCATTCGGATTCCACTCAAGTGTTGGCCTGCATTGGGGACGACTTCATACGATGACCTCTTTAACGTTTGCCCGATCCATCTCCATTTTCCCTTACATATTTGTTGAGCGATCGGCTGTTGGATGGCTTGTCTCCAGTCAGAATTTCTTGTTGCTGATTTTTTGTGGCTGGCCGGCAACCAGCAAAGGCAGTTGTTGATGAACGTGTGCAATAGGCTGTTGGGAATTCTCTTCGTGACATATCAAGTTTGTGACCCGTACTCATATAGTACGGACACATTATTACTACTGTTATTTTCTCCCATTCCTCTCGTTCCCAGTAGAGTGCGTATAAGGCATCAGCAGCAACACACCACCATTGCACTCAGTTCTTTGACATCACTTTTGACCGGTTCCATGATTACCTATAAACTGTCATATAAGATAAGATAATAGCTTTATTCCAAATCAGTACTTGTGATACAGAATGGAATTCTCAGCATTTTTACTACAATATTGCATCCAGTTAGTACGTTAACAATAAATAAAGTTCTACATAGATTAAAGTTATCTCAGTCAGTTTTGACAACAGCATATTAGCATGTCGGTAGCAAAGCCAAAATTTAAACAGTGTTTGAAGGTGTTAGAAAGGTAGATACTACTAGCGTATTTACTGACGTAAGCGATAGCAAAATGGTCGAGATATACAGAGTGTGAAAGAACGAACAAGAATGTTTTTAGTAGAGTTTGTAAGGAAGAGAGAAACAAAACGGCACATGACAGAAATAAATACAAAATAAAATTGGTGGAGAGAAAACGTTGTACCTGTAAATGATGTGAGTTGGAAAGACGGGATCTATTTGTTCTACTGACTATTTAATAAGTTAAAGGTTTCACGCCTAATGCTTTCCTTATCGCACAAAACACGAGCTAGGTAGGGTATGGATGAGTTTTTGTACTTGCTAGTGCGGGCATATAGTTTCCTATATAGGCTTCTGGTTTTCCCTGAAGAGATACATGGGGAGAGTTGTGAATGTAGAGGGTGTTGTGAGTCAGATAAGATGGATATCGCCCATTTTTCACATGAGTCCATGTGCCTGTCCACCAGAATATTAACAAGCTGGCTAAGTGGCACGTTGCTTACCCTGCTGACAACCTTTAACATCCTACGTAATAAGGTATAGTCTTTCTTCAATAGCCCAGGAAAGACTAAGGGGGAACAATAGAGAATAAGAGGCAGAATACGGGAGTTAACAAATTGTAGGAGTAAGGGTTGGGTTACACCAGAATGTCTTAACTTCTTGATGTTGAAGGTAAGACGGAATATTTTCTTAGAAATCGTCAAGATATGAGACGACCAGGAAAGATCAGAAGATAGAGTGACGCCTAGGTATTTAATTTCTGACTTGGTTTGAATTTCAGTGCCATCAATGTTGCATACCTCGTGAATGCTAACCAGCTTGTTTAGGTCAGATTTATGCCTTAAGGTGAAATTGACTGTTTGGCATTCAGAGGGATTTAAGGTTAGACCGTTTTCCTTGAACCATTGGCTGATTTCTGATAAAAAGTTATTTGGTTTAGAGCAGTCATTTTGACATCTGACAGGTAAAGATACAGTTAGGTCAGTCACAAATGATCCCTATATTACCGCCAAACGCCCAATCTGTCGCTACAAATTTGGGTTCTTCTTTAGGGTCAGTTGCGTCATGTGGCTTGAACGTCTTCTCAGTATGTCTAATATATTAACTTCCGCAAATTTCGCGGCAATATTTCCTTAATACATTAATTCCCCCTCCATGAATTTGAGTAGAGCAAGAACAACAGTGGGTTTGTGCAGAATAAGATGATGGTACCATCACTCACTGTCCATTTCGTTGGCTTCTAATCTCAACTGATTACAGCCTAAAGAAATTATCAATAAGTTTATGTATAGAAACAATTTTAACACATTTACTTAGACAGAGAGTTCAAGTTTAAACAAAAAGTCAGTGTACGCACTCAGTGGTAATAATAATAATAATCACTGTCCCAAACAATAAGAATCACACATAATGGAATTTCCAGCATAAAGGTAACGTAGTCGAATTGGAGGGAGGATCAAGATAAAGGGAAAGAAAAGACTAATAACTGCTTCTTCCGGAACACATAAATTGAGTTTAAGGCGCTTGATAGAGATTGATTCGGCAAAATTGAGCAGAACTGAGCTGTCTCGTCTACCGATAATTTTAAAGTGGCCGTAAAAGGGGTGCGATAGTCGAACACCTCGTCAACAATGGTCATTCCATTTCAACAAATACCTCCTTCAAAGAATAACCTATTAAAGTCGATACGGTATCATCTCCTCTGCATTGCTGAAATCTTAGCCATTCACTTGGAGAAACCAAAGTTATGTGTCGGAAAGAAAACCATCTAACCACCTTTACTATCATGTTAAAAACCGTGTTGACTTCTGCTGTCCCGGTGTGTTGTGTGCTTGCTTTTCTAACTCTTTATAACATTTTTAACTTTTAGAACACCTACATAATTCCATATTTTCTTATATTTCTATGCGCACCTTATTAATCACAACTCATTCATTAAACTGTTCATCTCATTACGCAACTCTATTTCGTTTACTCAACTTGTCTTCATAGAGAAACTGAGACTTATGCTGTCCTGTAAGCCTTCACAGCATTCGGACGATAGTGTCACATCCCATTGTGCTAACCGATTCATATGTGTGGACACACGTACATAAGGAGAACCCATCAGTCTTTGTAGGTGAGGACTACAGAACATATTACAAAATCGCTGCATCAATAAATAAAATCGCCAGATACAATTGATTCCGGAAATAAATGCCCAATATCATCTATAGCGAAGCACATTATAGAGATGAGTCACAAGGTTTAATTTCAACAATGCTTTTAAGCGCATAAATAAAACTAGGTTGGGTCACATATTTGAATTCGTTGAAGCCTTGGCCATAAAAAGACTTAAAGCTATCTTATGTGTCCAAAAGTTATGTTTTATTACTGCCTTGATAATCCAGTTTAGAACTATGGTTCATTTTACTTCATAATATTTTCAACCCCTTCTTTGCTTTGTTTTTTCTATCTTATCTACACCTCTGTGTCATCTCCCTAACCAATATTTGTGACCTTGACCCGTACACAATCTGACCTGTATTATAACGATTCATGGCTTCCATAAAACTATGTATGACACGTACGTGTGTGATCAGAATGTCCGAAATGTGTTGCACAAATACATTACACGTTTCAGATAAACTATATCTACTTATTGTGTTGCCGATATTCAACTTTTATGTATTGATTAACATTAATAACTATGTTTTTTTGACAACACATCCCCACTACCCTCTTAATGATCTTCAATCCACTCACCCCCCGCCCCGCCCCCCAAGTTACAGTTTGATTACTCATCACATTTTCGAAATGTCTTGACAACGATAAGCCAAACTTATTTTTATTCATATCGGACAAACCTGGTGTACACACACACACACATACAAAAATAAGTATATATAAATGCGATTGTACAGCTAAGGAAACTAATTCACCGAAAAGAGACTCTTCGCTGATCTATGTGTTTTATTTTCATTAATTTTAAAGGATTTTGAGATGTCCACATCATGACCCTTATCGGGGAGATGCCTGGTAATGGCACTATTCAAAACGTTTGTTCCCTTGATATGTAGGCGCCTTTTTGGTACATGTTTAGCAAATCGGAATCATTAACAAATATGTAAGATGTGAAGGCTCAAATATCAAGCAAGTCAATCAACTCGATTTTAAGGGTGATAATATTGCAGGAATAGTTAAAAAGAAAAGAAGATTGAATATGTCACTAGCCAGAGCCTATCCTATTTGTCGATTTTTGATTGCACCAAAGAGCACGTTGTCTGATAAATAGGGACCATCTTAGGATAGACTTTGGCTGGTGACATATTCAATCTTCTGTTAACTATTCCTGCAATATTTTCACCCTTAAACTCGAGTTGCAAGCAACAAGCTGGCAGAAGAAGCATCCAGAAAAGATAGGACTTCAGGTGAACATAGATAAAACAGAGGTGATGAAGATTCCTGACTAACTGCAACAGCAACAACAACAATCAGTCAGCACAAATAGGAGGAACCTGAAAGAAACAACCTCCTTTACCTACTCAGCATAGGAAGCATCGTTTCAACTACAGGCCGATGGAACTGATGAGGATATCAAAGCCAGAATCGGAAAAGCAAGACAAGCTTTCATTACTCTCAAGTCTGTGTGGAGGTCAACAGCACTCAACAGGAAAAATAAGATTCCGATCTTTAACTCCAATGTGAAGTCAGTCAGTGCTACTATACGGATCAGACGTCATAAAGAGCATCTCAAACAAACTACAGACCTTCATTAACAGTCTTCTTCGCTCAATACTCCGCTCAAGATCAGATGGCCGGCCAGAAAAGATCAGAAACAGGCAGGGATCTCTGGCAATGAGCGAACCAACCAGAAACCGATTGTGAAACAAAGAGGCAGGAAGAAAGGGAGATGGATTGGCCATACGCTGAGGAAACCATCAAGTGACATCACTAGACAAGTCATTGCTCGAGTGGAACCCGAAAGGGGGACGGCGAGTTGGTCGTCGGCGCAAGGGTGACTTGGAGGAGGTCATATGAAGAGGAGATGAAAGCATGTGGGCAGACCTGGAGCGGGCTGAAAACGTTGGCAGGAAACCGAACGCAGTGGAGACGCGCAGCTGAAGCCCTATGTTCCTCTAGGAATTAAAGGATATGATAATAATAATAAACTCGAGTTGAATGAAGATAGGTTGTTTTCCCACTGTGATTTATTTGATATTTGACCCCTCACATCTTACGTACTTGTTAATGATTCCGATTTGCTAAACATGTACCAAAACGGCCTACATCCCAAAGGAAGAAACCCTTTGAATAGTTCCATTGCCAGGCATCTCGTCAATATAAGTTATGATGTGGACATCTCAAAATCCTTTGGAATTATCAGTTGACTAAATAGCTCAATTCTCCTCAGGTGTGCCGAAGTAATCTCTACGAAGCGCCTTAAACCCAATTTATGTGTTCAAGTGCAAGCAGTCATCAGTTTTTTCTTCCCTTGGTAACTATATGTCTTTATCCTCTCTCCCATTTGATTACGTAATCTTTAACACTGGAAATTCCATTATGTGTGATTCTTATTGTTTGGGACAGTGATTATTATTATTATTACCACTGAGTGCGTACACTGACTTTTTGTTTAAACTTGAACTCTCTGTCTAAGTAAATGTGTTAAAATTGTTTCTATACATAAACTTATTGATAATTTCTTTAGGCTGTAATCAGTTGAGATTAGAAGCCAACGAAATGGACAGTGAGTGATGGTACCATCATCTTATTCTGCACAAACCCACTGTTGTTCTTGCTCTACTCAAATATTTTCTTGGTTGGTTGTCAGTGTTTCCTTCCAGCCGTGTGTCATCTGCAGTGTGGATCGAAGGAGCAAGTTTTGATAGTTGAAGACGTATTATTTTACTGCACCACTCGTTGTTTTCAAAGAAATTTTAAGTTAATGTCTACTTTTAAGCTGTCTAGGCATACTTATTCGTTATGCAATATATTTTTTTTTATTCCTTTACGTTCCCAGTGGAACATGAGGCTTATAGTTAGAGGATTGAAGTTTCTGTAGCAGTGGTGTCTATTTTTACGGGATGGTGTTGCTAGCCTCATGTCCGACCCTCTCTCCTTACCAGTCTTAGTACTAGCTTAGTGAGGTGAAGGAGTACGTCCGTGGCAGGGATCGAACCCTAGACCACATGAGGCGTGTTCGGCAACCATTCTACCGCTGTTCCACCGACGCACTATTCGTTATCCAATATGGGAGTTATATCTTAAAAACCGTAATGACATCAACACGAATAAAATATTTTGCATTGGATTAGGTTGGCTGGGGTGTGGGGTGGGGTTATGGCCTCAGTGTGGCTAGTTGAATCATTGACATAGACCAACAAGTCTTCCTGTGATAATCACAGAGGGATCAGCTTGACTAATATGGTATCTAAAGTCCTAGGCTCAATATTTTTTATTTTTTTATTTTTGATTACAGTTTGATTCCACACTGTAATAATCATGCGTAGACTAAGTAGTGCTCGGGAGGCACAAACACGAGAGAGCCAAGCAGGCTTTAGACTAGGGAGAGGGTGTATTGATCATATCTTCACCCTCCGACAGATTCGAGAACATAGGAATTCCTACCGGCGTCCAACAGTCATTATATTTCTTGACCTAGGGCAGCATTCGACTCTGTCGATCGAGAAGTTCTCTGGAGATGCTTGGCTATAAAGGGAATGCCGAGAAAATATATTGCACTGATGAAGGCACTCTACTCGTACTCATACAGCCAGGTGGGGGCTTACCGCGAGCTGTCATCTGAACTGGTGACGACCAGTGGTGTCCGTCAAGGATGCCCATTATCGCCTTTTCTATTCAACTTCATCATAGATTTACTAATGGACTTAACCCTAAGTGACTTCAGCGACTCCGGGATTGACTTGCTACCAGGGAATAATCTCGTTGACTTAGAATATGCAGACGATATAGTCCTCCTAGGCGACGACTCGGACAAAATGCAGTCTTGTAAACACCTTGAGCTGCAATCTACGAATGTTTGGCATGCGATTCGCTCCCGCCAAATGCAAGATGATGTTACAGGAGACTGGACTACACAGACTCATAGTTTAGAAATAGGGAGTGAATTGGTAGAGCACGTTGACGGCTTCACTTATTTGGGAAGTACCATCAACCAGTGCCAACGTGTTGATCTCTGACGAAATCTCAGCAAGGTTACATAGGGCTAGTTTCGCATTTGTCTGCCAGTTTACGCCGTCTCTGGCGTAGACAAGATATCCGACTATCGACCAAAGGGCGGGTGTACTGCTCATCAGTGCGCACCGTCCTCCTTTATGGTTGTGAGACGTGGCCACTGAGAGTGGAAGACATGAAAAGACTAGCTGTCTTTGATCATAGGTGCCTGCGCTCTATTTCCCGTGTGAAGTGGCATAATAAGGTGAGCAACATTGAGGTTAGGCGTAGAGTTCTCGGTAAACAGGGGAAATCAATCGACGAAGTCGTGAAGTTACATAGACTGAGATGGTTAAGACATGTGTTACGTATGCCTAGTCATCGCCTTCCTCGACTGATGGGCAGTGTTAGCGGATATAGGGTCAGGCTGGAAAAGAGGTAGCGGAGGTCAAACCAAAAGATGTCACCTGTCAATGAAATCTACAACAGTTAGTCTAAGCCAGTCACGTAGGAAGGTGTAGACTTCCTGACTGGTTGGGGTCCTCGGGACGGTAAAAACAAATAGTTGGAAACAATTGGTGACATGACTCAAAATCGTTCTCATCCACTCCTTGTGACTTATGATTTCCAATGAAACTGTTTTGTTCTTCGTTACTGCTATTCCTTTGTCCCACACCCCTGTTTACTGTCTCTATTATGGATTTCTTCTCTTGCTTTTTATGCTACATGGAGTGTGGCGACTTGAACTGACGCACATATGTGCAAATTCGTTTGTCGAAAATAGACAGACAGACAGAGACATAACTCCACAACAGATAAACCTAATTTTTGTTCCTAATTCAGGAAATATTTCTCTCAAGTTTTACAGTAAAAAAATGTCAACTTGTGTAAAACGTGCATACACACGAAGTTCAAGATAGTACAAAAACAGAGAGGGAGAAACAGAAATACACACTTAACGGTTACATCGTAGGATAATAAAAGTAAGGGTAGTGTTATTAAATGGATTACTATAGGGAGTGATGTAAACTTCAACTTTCATCCACGTTGTAGGTTTATGTAACATTATAACAACATATTGAAACACAAAGTGCTACTCTCTCGCTGCTCAAGGTGGAAGAGTGTTATCCCACTCTTTAACGACTCCAAATCACAGTAACATATAAATTTCACCAATCACCACTTATCCTTAGGTAAACTTCTATAATAAGGGCATAATAAAAGGAGGTATCCCTAAAAAATAGTCGAGCTAAACATCTACAAAAATACTTCCAGCACTATCTTAATTTTCATTTTTTTTTAATCCGCTACTTCTTATAACTTTTTTTAAATGTTTTTAGCTTCCTTCCTCAGGATTTAAAATGTTCAAAAATTATATTAAAAAATTAGTTGGACGTGCTAGAGAAGATTTATTACGTCGATGTTCAGAGGTAGTAGTAGATAATGACACCGTTTCTGATCCTAATGATGAATCTAAACAATGTACAAATGATACAGAAATTAACATGGAAACTTCAGAACAACATGATGCTCCTCCTCATCATCATCAGGAATCAAGTATGTGTATTTTGAAATATTATTGTTTTATATCAATGTGGTAGTTCACAGGGATTTGATTGACTGACAGAATTTCGTCATCAGGTCACATCGGTTACAGAGAGTCATTGGAAAATCCACCTGTGACTACTGGACAGTTGTTTCACCCTGTTTTGGACTCTTCATCGGCACGCAACTACCGAGGTTCAAACCCAAGACCTTTGGGCTACCATTGACCTATCTGTCTGTCTGTCTGAATTCAACATAGAACTTGGCACCGAAGTGCAGCAGTTCGAGTTGCCACCTTCCAAATAGCACACAGAGGTAGACAAGAAGATGAGTGAAGAGAATCAATAGAGTTTGACAAGTATAAGAGCGAAACAGAATAAGTAATGGTTGTCGGGTATGAGGACAAATACTTGCTAGCGATGACATTGGCTAATGGGTCACTCCACATCATGACCATTGTACCGGGCCCAATGGCTCAGTGGTCTCCGAGCACCCTCGCTTCGTGACCAGAAGGTCCCAAGTTCGAACTCCGGTGGTTGCGTACTGACTGATGTAGAGTCCAAAACTAGGACGAAACAGCTAGCTGTCCAGTACTCTCCGGTTGTGTTTTATAATGGTTCTCTAACCGATATCAGCTCATGATGAAATCCTGTTTAATATCACTTTTAAATTTTGGGGCTGGTAAACTGAATTGTTGATATTATTTACCGTACCACATAAAATATATTTGGTTATAGGGAATAGTAAAAAGACAGTTGCAGCGGAGAAAATTTTCTTTTCAACTAAGTCACCGTCAACTGGGCTGTACATTCGTGTATTTATGATAAATCGGTAGGAAAGTTCCAGAATAATTTCCGGTTAAGGGTCAAATCAATAATATTACAATTAGGAATTAAAATGTCATAATAAACGGGGGGACAGATAAAACTCAAACAAATTTGCATCATAATTGCTGACAAGATCGACTTGTTGTGCAATTAGGGGTTATAAATGTAGAAATAACAAAATAGGCTGGATGTTTGGATTAAAAAATCTAGTGGGATCATAACTAATGTGACGAATAGTTGTTTATGCAATCAGCGATTAAGTGTGTATAAATAATAAAATGACAAAATAGACAGGAAGTTCTGATAAGAAAGGTAATGGGATAGTCACTATTAATAGAATTACCTGTTAGTGATGGCCATGGCACCGACAAGGTTTGGATGTATTCCTTTTGGATACATAGTGTGGGTTTGAGCTTTTGGATGGTTAGTGCCTCCTCTATGCCTAGATGTCTTAATTTTTCTCCCTTTGATAGGTTTGATCCAATCTTGTATATTGTTTTGAAGGATTTTACAAATGGCGCTGAATGTCTTGAATTGACCATATGTTCTGTCACTGAATTATGTACACGTTTTCGTTCTCCTTTTACTAACCAGGCTGGATAGTGTTCACGAGCGCGTTTTTTAAGTTGACACATCGTACGGCCGATGTACTCAGCTCCGCGCGAACAAGTAAACTGGTATATGCATGTTGAAATGGCCTAATGCAACAGCTTGTCTTTCGCATTCTGGCTGAACAGTTTCTTGCAGGAAAGTGTTAGTTGTAGGCTTCCGGCGAAGTATGTTTGCCTCAGAGATTTGCAGATGCGTTTACGAAAAATTTCTGCTTCAGTGTCACCTTTGAATTCTAGATTAAGCAGAAGTATTATCTTCGGGACGGATTGGACTTGTTCGAAAGTCTTCTTTGATATAAGATTCTTATCTATGAACCTAGGCGGAAAACTGCTTTCCATCAGGGTTCCTCGGAGATTACATAGTTCTTCGTCGATCACTTCTTCGCTGCATATCCTCCGAATCCTCGAGGAAAGAGTGTGTATAAGGTTCCTCTTTCTGCTTAGGGGCACAAGGCTTTGAAAGTTGATGAATTGTCCATTTCATGTAGGCTTTTTGTATATGGACCTTTTCAGAGAGTTGACGACTTCATCGAAAAGAAAATTTTCTTCACTGCAAATATCTTTTTATTATATATTTGGTTATTATCCATGAAATTTTCTAAAAACAGTGAAAGTCGCTACGGAAAACCTACCACCGTTATTCATGTTATTACTGTGCCATAAGGCGTGATTGTTAAGATTTCTCGTCTCTTGTCCTAGTTACTGCTTGTGTTCTTTTTGACACCCCTGTCTTGTGGATAAAAGGCACAGTTGTCCGTTCTATAATCACACGTCTTAATTATCGTGATCACCAGCGTATATTATCAGACAGTAACTACAACAGGTTCCTTTACATTCACTGAATAGTTTTTTGGGAGTTACATTTCAAAGAATATTCTTTATGCTATAGCAACTATAATCAACAAGAGTGTGGTATTGACAACTTGATTTTGTTATTATTGCCTTTATTATTTGTCATATTGTGCCTTGTTTGAAATGTTATTTTCACCTATAACAATTCTGAGTACAGTACTCATAAGAGTAGTAGTAGGTTAGTAAATACACTAATAATTTCTAATAGATAAAGTAATAGGCTGAATGGATTCGAACACCAAGAAACGTGGGGGGTGGCGGGAGAGAGGACAATAACCGCAATTGCGATTTCATAAATATACAACACTCTGAAATCAATAGAAAAGTCTTCTGCATTCCTTATAGAAAACAAAATTCGGATTTTGAACACCAATGTTAAGTCAATCAGTTCTTCTATATGGATCAGAAAATCGCCCATGAATTCATGAAAAGCACTTCCATCAGGTTTCTGTAGACTTTTATCAACACCTGTCTTCGCTGGTCCCGTAATGAAGGTCAAATGGCCGGCCGGCCAGAAGGAATTAGCAACAAGAAATTCTGGCGACAAAACAACCAAAAGCCGACTGTTTAATAAATATGTAGGAAAAAATGGAGATGGATTGGGCACACACCAAGGCTATAGCTCGAGTGAAACCCCAATGAGAAACGATGAGTGGAACGTGTGTCCGACGGTAGTATAGAGAAAATCTTGCAAGAAGCAGATCAGAGGCTATGGGCAATTGTGGGGCCAGTCAGTCGAAGAGGACCGCAAAAAATTGGACAAAATGGAGACTTATTGTTGAAGCCCTATGTTCCACTCGGAACCCGAGGGAACAATAATAAACGAAAGGGATAATGAGTGACAATGAGTACCTGCTTGGCTGTCATGTATTTATAGATTATCGTGTTTGGTAAATAATTTTACTACACGCGAGTCTGTATAGGGGAGTTAACAGTTATTTTCACTAAACTTGAGCAAGCTGCTAGTGAGTTTGTCATTTTACATTATGTAATGGTTTCTTTTCAGCCTAAACTAGTCACTGTAGATCTACATTTCACCAGATGATCTTGTGTTATAAAAATTATTTTAAAAGACAAGATTTAGTGCAATCTGATGTTCTTTATTGATTCCTGTGCATCGGCTTCCATTAAACCCCCCTACACAGCATTAAAATTATAGTAAGTCTCTGTATACTTAATCTAGAACAACACATTTAAGCGAACAATATTGTGGTTTCAATTAGATCTCATCAGGCTTAACTCTAATATACATAACTTTACAAATAAAAATTCAAATATAAACCAGTCGTGGTGTTTTGTCAATAGAATAATAAGATTTCGAATATAAATTGTGCAATCTTGAAGTTAGGCGTCGAGTTCTAGGTAAACAGGGGAAATCAATCGATGAGGCTGTGAAATTACATCGACTGAGATGGTTAGGAATTGTGTTACGTATGCCTAGTCATCGCCCTCCTCAACGAGCAATGTTAGCTGATATAGGGTCAGGCTGGAAAAGAGGTAGCGGAGGTCAAACCAAAACATGGCACTAGTCAATGAAATCTACAACAGCTAGTCTAAGCCACGTAGGAAGGTGTAGACTTCCTGGCTGGTTGGGGTCCTCGGGACGGTAAAAACCAATGGTTGGAAACAATTGGTGACATGGCTCAAAACCGTTCTCAATGACCGGCTGGCGCAGATGCATCCACTTCTTGTGACTTATGATTTCCAATGAAACTGTTTTGTTCTTCGTTATTACTATTTCTTTATCTCTCACGTCTGTTTACTCTCTCTATTATTCATTTCTTCTGTTGCTTTGTGTGCTACAAGGAGGGAGTGTGGCGACCTGAACTGCTGCACATATGTGCAAAGTTCTATGTCGAAAACAGACAGTCATATAAATTGTGCAGTAAGTCATAATAATAGTAAAGATAATAATAATAATGAATCTATCAATAACAAGGATGAAAAATGAGGTTATCTGTGATAACTAGAGTAACGAAAAACAGCATGATTAAACTAACCAATATTCAGGTAGAAGTAGTCGATAAAGACTAAGAAAAACAAATGAACGGATTGAGTAATGCTAGATTGCAAGGGAATTAAATAAAATACGTTCCAATGAAGATGTGGTAAAATTAAGGGATGATAAGAGAGTGGTTGGAAATATAAGTGTGGGGTGGTAGAGAAGTCATCAGTTGGTTAGGTCTTAATAAGCCAGGGGAGGAATAATGGCTGTACGAACTTCTTTTGAATGTATAGGTTAGGTTTAATCGTTCGAATGTTAATCGCCTGCCTCGGCTATGTGCAGTAGACAAATACGAAGTCTATTAGAAAGATTCGGTGAGATGCGATGAATTACCTTGAAAACTTTCGTTTTCTTCACTACATGACCACTATCAACTAAATGTGACAAAATGGAGTTATGGATTGTTTTTATCTGTCGTTTGCCATACCACGATTGGAGATGTTCAGTAGTGACACGTTGGTTAAGCTGTCTAAAGTACGCCCAACATAAATGTCACCGCGGGTGCAGTTGAATTGATAAATGCACATAGATGTGGCGAAACTATCTATCTTATTCTTCGTTTGTGTCCCAATCATTTGTCGGCTAGAGAATGACAGATATAAGTATGCTGCGTAAAACGTTCTTCGTTTACTCCTTGAAAGTCTCTGGAATGAAATTTCACTTGATGTCACCATTAAATCATAACTTAATAAATAGAGGTTTTTTAAATGCAGTCTTAGTCCCAAGTTTTCTCTCTGTGGTGTTTCTTTATGAAACTAATCGGGTGGACCATCTCCGTCAAGAGATCATAAATATATTTAAATTCATTTTGTAACTGGTCATCCGTACATGTCTTTCTTTTCCTACTCGTAAGACATTTCGCAACATTTCTTTTACGTTCATAGGGCAAGTAACTGAGAAGTGTGTGTATTGCCCTGTGAATGTGTATACTTAATCCATGACGGAAATCTCTATAAATCAGCAGTCAGCATAATTTTCAAGTATTGGTTTTCAGACTGGTTACTGATCTCAATTTTCGTCGAAAAATGACTTCAGTTAGGGGATCATTGAAAATCATAGAGTACTGTATTCGATCCGTGATTGGGGTTATAGGTTCATACTGTGAAGAGTTACAAAGAAGGGCGAAACAGCTGCCCAGTACTTCCTGGTTTTCAACAGTCCTCTAACTGTAGTTAATTCGGATTCAAAATGTTGGTGTATTTGTCTGGACCTAAGTGTAATAATGACTGAAACAATTCAACCAGGCTTTCGATTTCATTGTTAATTTTTTATCGCATAACCGTATAGCCCAACTAAGATGAATCATCGTTTGACAAAAGTCCTTAGAAAGGATAACCTGATCGGAGCAGAAGTCTCCTGCTTGCTAGATTTTGTCAACAAAGCGTATCTGTAAATCCAGGAAAATCCTGTTCACTCTATATGCATCTCAATAATGACTGAAGGAACGCCACTGCATTCGGCATACTCGTCAAAAAAAGTTAAGTAAGCCAATGTAATTATTTGATTTTCTGAAGTGAGAGTAAGCCTAAATGGCTTGTAAAACATTTCAAAACCAGTAAGTATTCAAAATACCTGCCGAGTTGCTTGTTTTTTCCTCAGTGTCTAGCAGACTGCTTCTTCATTGAGTGTAAGCTATGCCGCTAAAGCGCTGGAACTCGTGTACTCCATCATTTTAGTGAAAAGACGTGTATCTGAAACTGTCCTGACACAAAGTTAGGTAGTTTAGGCCTTTGTTTCCAGTCATGACAACTATGGAATTAGCTATTCTTAATGTCTTTATGCTCCTGAAAAGCTGATATTAGTTCTATTAGCAAATTCGTGCACTCCACTTTAGCAGTAAGTTGTATATACCATTTGACGGTTAACTCAAAACAGATGTCTCAGTTACCACCACCCTAAGAGCTGAAGTTGTTGTTTGACGACTGACCATACCACCAAGGTATTCATTCACGCTGTAGGTAGGTAAGGGAGGTTACAACTGTCAAACTTATTGTGGTTGTAAGTCGACTGTTTAACCTAATTAGCTTCAGTTAAACATGGATTTATACACCTAACCTACTAGTTCAATGTCTGGTGTTTGCTTCCTGTAAACCATTTACTCACAATTTGGAGGCTGTGTTAACTAAAGTAAATTTTCTCTTTTCTTTTTTACAGGTCCTAAAATGTCTAAAACACGAGCGAGGAAATTACTAGCAATTCTGTCAACAGAATCTGATTAATATATTTTTATCGACAGAGAATTGATTGTTTTGTCTATTCTTTCTGAATTTCTGGCGGGGGAGGGGAAACCTTTCGGACACAGACAAAAGCATAAAGACTAGCCAACATACTTGAAAGTTATTACAGAGTGATACGCATGCTGGGAATATGTGTGCACAATCACTGTGACCTATTCACTTACGAAAACAAGCGTTAACCTTCTACATTTGAGGTTGGGTGTCGAGTGCTAGGTGACGTGAGGAAACCAACCGACGAGGCTGTGAAGTCACACCGATTGAGACGGTTAAGACATATGCTATACACGTCTAGTCATTGCCTTCCTCGGTGGGAAATGTTAGCTTACATAAAGAATCGATGAGATTGGAGAGGAGTTAGCTAGTGGTGGTCAAACCAAAACATGGCTTCATCAATCAGTGAATTGCACAACAGTTAGTGTAAGACAGGCAGTCAAGTAGGGAGGTGTGTAGACTCCTGGCTGGTTGTTGTCCTAGAGATAGTAAGAAACAGTAAAGACTGGAGACAATTAGTAGTATGGCTTGAAATCCTCCCCAGAGGCGGCTGACGCAGATGCAATTTTTCATGTCTAATGAAACTCTATTCTTCTTCCGTATTACCACTCCTTTTTTCCTCACTCACTTCTATTTATTATCTGTCTTTTGAATCTCTCTTTACTCTGTTCTTTTGCTTTGTGTGCTAATGGAGTCTGGCAACACGATCTGCTGCACTTATGTGCAAAGTAGAATCCAGTCCAGTCTACCATTGCTGAATTTAGATCCTGGATCTATTTTAAGTGAGAAAACAATCAAGACGATTTACTCAAGCTAGCGTTCTATATTTTCGTGATAAGTATAAAAAGGAGTTCAGTGTACAATATAAAGAAATAATGCAATTTATCACATGGCCAGTTATTACTATCATTATCGTTGGCTTTTCTTTGCTAACAGATTTCTTCTACTTTTAGCCATACGTGCTTTTATTCGTTCACGTGAAATTTGTGCTCCTTCTTTTGCTAGGTTACGTAGGCGATCACTTTCTTGCACTTGTGGTGCTTTGCCTGTCAGGCGAAGATAACGGACCAGATATCTGGTTAATATAAGCGTAAGGCCGTAACGCAATGGTGCTGCTAGTTTATAGAATACTAAGGCTGTTGCAAGAGTATTCATGGCTCCACCACCAAGGTGAAGAGGTTTACGTAACCATTCAGGTGCATTAAAACTATCCAAAATATCCAGTAGGTTGATTCCACTGTAAGTAAAATTATTAAAATAGGAATTAATTTTAAAAAATTTAATATGGAAAATACAATGTTAAATGTGCTACACTACGTGTGGAACTGTCAGTTATTGTTATAACACATTCTCTCCTGGTCACAACTTTTTACTAAGGTAGCTGTGACTTGTCTAGACGGTCTTGAGGACTTATACAAATTATACGTGTTTAGTAGATAGGATAGTTATTTGGAGACGTGCGACTTATGTTTTATGTACACTGCGAGATAAAACCAGGGCCAAGCACTTAAGTGTTCCAGGCTACAGCACTAATCGATCGATTGGCGAACGACAAACACACTCCAGTGGTGCAGATTTAAACGGTTCTGTCGCATTTTACGAAAACTAACCTCAAATATATTATAGTAAGATACCACAACTTCAGGTTACAAATAAGCACATATGTTACTTTCAAGCTACAGTTGGATGAAATGTGAGGTAGTTCATGGTCAACAATAAATTATAAAAACTGAAGTGTAACACCACAAACATGGGAGCTCCGTTTTAAGATTTAAGGTCGCATTAAGTTAACACCTAATGATCAAAAGCAGTACATTGATTATGAATACATCCTGATTATTATTTCAAAAATGGAAACATGCAGGGTTTGGATGCCCAAGATACCAGTGACAATTTTCTGAAATTTCAGAATGAGACAGAAACGTTGCAGTATTTAACTTACTTCTGATATATTCTACTAGCAATAGTGAAATTACGCACTTCTCTTTAGGAATGATTTAACAAACGAAGCCTGAAATTCATAAATGTCCACGCAAAATAAGCTTGCAAATGATCTGAGCGAGTGTAATGATTCAGCAAATATTAAAGCTCATCTCAGCGTCGATGAAACTAGCCGGTAGGTTTCACAAAGATCTAACTTATCATCCTCTGGTCATTACCGTATAATATTAATCTCCTGACAGTAAAGGCTCTCGCGTCCACTCAGCAAAGCACACCCTTATATAAGTAAGAATTAACAGAAGCTTGTAAACCGTAGTACAATGTGAGACTACTAATTAAGATGCTATATATGAAGAGTCTTACCTGCTAGCCAGTACATAAAATCCCCCAAACCATAAACAAGAAGTGACTCCATGCGTTATAAGTACAACTTTTCCGTAGATTGCATATGCATCTTTGAAGCGTTTGACTAGACTGGTTTTCTTTTTATCGATGTCATTTTCAGTTTTACCATTACTGGAATTAGCGGCTGTGCTCCTTGACACCACGGGAATAGATACATTTTTAGTGAGGAAATCCTTTTTATGCGTGGCAGGCCCATTGACCATGGAGAAGAAACATTGCCTATGATCATGAATAAAACTAGATCTCGGTAAATATCCATATGCCGACGAAGTTATCATACACCCGAAATTATTTGTTTGGGTGATCTTATGCCTGAAGGCTTCGAAAAAGCGCCTACATAGTATGATACTTGCCATGCTGGTCCAGTGGCAGAGAATTTGTGCACAGTACTTAACTGGAATTGAGGTCTAACGCCTGCACCTCATGCCTCAAGGTCGGATAGTGAGATTCAAATAAGGCGGGGTTTAATCGTCCAATAGGCTGAAGGGTGGGGTGAACTTCTGTAAAGGTCAGCCGCGAAAGTGGGTAAATTCGTGCCGGCCTTAATTCTGATATTTTTATTGATGATAGGAGCTTTTGGTAATAAGAAAACAACAGTGACCCAGGTAAACAACCAATAAGCGATGAGAAGTGAACAACGTAGTTGTGTATGACTAGTCAAGTGGTCACGCCATTTGGTGCGCCATCGTGTCACGTTCGTGCACGATCACTAGCCAGCTAAGCAATCATCTCCACTACACTTTGGCCCCGAAATATATCTCGTAATTTGGACGATCAAATCGTGTCTTTTGCTTTGCCTTTGGTCAACGCGGAACGAATATTATAAAAGTTGTTATTATTTTTTTATTACAGCTTGATTTCACACTGTATTTTTGGTACAAGTATGGAATTTTCAGCATGGATATCGGTAGCCAAAATTTCGCAGGCCGACCATAGATATCAGGTGTGCGTCGGCGTGGGCTCGAGCCCCGGACCATGTGCATGGTCGGCGAGAGTCCTAACTACTGTGCCACCGACGGTATTAGATCTCGCGTTAGTATACTGCGTACAATCCACGAACGTAAATATCGTCATCTTCTGAAATCATTTAATGTAAATTAGCATTCACCAACTATTGAGACATTCCTGGTGTACACGGAGATCTTGTTACTTTCCAATCAGTCTATAAGGCAAAAGTGAATACTTGTGGGAGTTGTTTTATACTGTCCTAACAATGGGATATGAACAGGTCAATATCACTGGCGACTTAAATCAGTATCAGTGAGAGGCATGATCCATAGAAAGGGAGTTTTTGAACGTTGTCACAGCTGTTGGGCTGCATGAAACCTGCAATAGCAATTTGTTGTTGACGGTCGAATAAACCTTTGGTCTGTCTCGTGTTATCAATCTGCTACCCACAGGAGATGGCAATCAATCGAGATTAAAGTTATTTGAAGTCAGGATATATTTAACTCTTTGTCATTTTCCAGATATTCAGCCAGTGGCATGAGGTTCACATTGGTCCACTGCACTGTAATCGTATGCATTATGGACAGTTAATTAAACACACAGTTATCTGAGAGCATATCCCCTCAATGACGCTTGTTGCTATGTTGCTATTGGTTTCAACTGGCCTAGGTTTGGGGGAAGATGTAATATTGCGATTTCATATACATAACTCAGGTTCATAGGTTAAAGAAAGTTATTATCCTGGAATAAGGACAGGTTGTGCATAAGGTAAGGAGGACATTATTTTTCAGTTTATTTGTATATATACTATTGTGCATCGAGTTGCACTGAGTTCTTAGTGCAAATGTATGTAACTTCATTTACATAAAGGAAAACATTACGAATGCTTCTGTTTTTAGAGTAAAAACATGATTCTTTTCATTAAGTGTAGTAATGAAGAATGGAATTTCTTCCACGTCAGTGTTATTTAATTGAAGCCTTTATCTCTGTAGGCCCTTAAAGGAATGAATTCGGCAAGGAGAACTCCTATGGAAACCGAAAGTACTTTTAGTTTACTAAATCTTACTGACTTCCTGCATAAATTTGATATCTGTTAAGTGTTTATGTAAAGTCGGCTGCAATATAAACTGAATATTCAGTAAAGTAAAAGTTGTAGTGCATAATGCCCAGACTTTTTGTAGTCATTGATATTGCCGGGATACCACTTACTCGTTTCATGCAGCCGAAATATTCAATTCTCACTTTATTGAGGAAACACTACATTGCCTGCAAAAGTAGTGCGTCAGTTTATGAGTTTCATTAAGCCTACAGTATGTTTTTTATTCAGTGATTACTGTTTGAGAATTATCCGAGAAAACACATTACCGAGTGGGATGTTACACAAGGCTGAATTCTCAAACTGTCATCCTGATAACAGTTCAATTCAATCACATATGTATTAATAGGATTGTCTGCAAAATGACTTTATAGACTTATCAGGGAACAGTCTCATCAACTTACAGTTTGCTGATGATATTGTCCACCTAGACTATGAGAAGTAACCTCTGATGTTGGAAAATATGAAAAGAATACCGATGTTTAATTATAGGTGTCTGTGCTCTATCTCATGAGTAAAGCAGTATAATATGGCGAGTGCTGTTGAGGTTACGCATAAATATTAAGGTTGGGAGGGTAAGTTAGTCTTCAAGGTAGGGAAG